TTGCCCATGATGTGCTCCATCCTGTTTGAGCAGGGCTGGGCTTCACAAATCATCAAAATCATCAGCACCAGTTCAATGCAAATATTATATCTGTGCTGTGTAGGGCAGGCATGAGGTTAGGAACTGCCTCAGAAGGAAGATTAAAAAAATAGCAAATGTTATTAAGCAGCTCTGTAAATGGATGGTGCATCCACAGATTGCATGTGATATGCTGTCCTGATTCCCAGTCTCCAAAGGAATAGAGGAGTTAGAGAGCAAAGCACAGCAAAGAAAGAGATTCCATAGAAAGAGAGAAAATATGCAGGGCTTTCCTCTTCCAGGGACATAATGGAATGAGAGGAATATAACAAACTGTGCAGCACCTTAGAATAAGCACCAGTTGAAGTCTTTAATCCTCTGCTGAAATTTGTAAGCTGAAGAATGTGTTTCAACATTCCTTGATCTCCCTTTTCGTTAGAAAACAGTGATTAATTACAGTTTCAAGTAATAACAATTAGAACAATGTATACTTCTGCCACCTACAGGAATTAACTCTCTTTGAATGTTGCCAAGACCTTTTCATCAGTGATGATGGAGAAAAATGTGCAGTTTTGCTCTAAAGGTTCATTTTGGTCCAGCTGCTATAGCTGCCCATAAGGATGTAATAATTGAGGCATCTGGACCAATGGAGCAGTGCATGGCTCACCCCTGTGAGGGATTGTGTCCCTCTCATGTCCCTCTGGAGGGACAGTGGAGGTGCCAGAGTCAAGCAGCTGTAGAGTGCAGCCAGACACATCCTTGTCTTACAGGCATTTTCCTTCACAGATTTCAGATTCCTCCCATTTCACTTCTCAGCAGACCATCAGAATGAGAGGCCTTTCAAGCCCTGTGTCTCACTGCAGTCACCTGGCAGGGATCACAGACACCAACCAACATTAGAACGTTGCTTTAATAAGCACTTCATAGTCATGTGCAAGTGAGGAGGCCTGGATCTGAAGATTTCATTTTTTCTCCATGGAAATAGGAGTAGGTTTCCCAGTGGTAGCCTCCACCTTTGTTAAGATTTTGATTATAAGCATTTGTGGAAGGAAAGGAATTATGGATCAACAAGGAGCCACTACATGTTATTTAAATAATGCCTATAACTACAACATGTTCCACTTATTTTAACTTCCTGAATGGAACAACAACAACAAAATGACTGACCATTATATGATTTGGATTAATTCTAGCTAGAGCAGCTAAACACAATTCCTTACAGTTAAACTGAGAAGAGATGAACAAATTCCAACAAATAACATTGTCAGATAACCCCAGAATTTCCAGCTCAGATCCTCTTTAACTCACAGAAACTCAAATCTTTCCAGATCTGGTGTGTGTTTTCCACTCTGATGCAGCTGCTCTTTCCTGCATATTCAAATTTAGAAGACTAACATGCTATGTTTGAAATTTTAATCTAGATACATAACAAAGTATGACCTGAGTATGAATGCAGAAGAACCTGCAGTTCAGAATGCCATTGGAGCCAGATTTTAAGGGTATTTTTGTTCTCTCTGTGTTTCAGGTTCTTAAACATCTTTAACTATGTGGCTCTGAGTGAGACTCTTTATATGCAAATTATAGGCAGATTAATTCAATAGCTCACTTGGAAGATTTAAAGGAAGGAAGAGAAGACCTGCCTGCTGGAACACTGAACCCTGGGTACAGCTGTTCAAGAAATACAGCAAAGGACAGGTTTGAACACAAGAGAACATAATGTACGAGTTAAATAGGTTCTTTCTGAGCTTGTAGCAGACTCACTTTTAGCTTTCACTCCTTTCCAATTTGGCATCTAGCCCTTCTTAAAATTTCCCTCTATTACGGTGGAACAAATTTAAACCTACTCCAGAAGTACATTTAATTCAGAACTGGTCTTTTCTCTCCTTTTCTGGTAGATGCTCTGTTGTCAGGCAAAACATTCCTGCCCCTCCCAGCAGAATGAGAAGGATTCCAGCTAAATGCATTGCCCTCCACCTTCCAGCAAACATTCAGAGCTCTCTTCCATTAATGAGAGATTTATTTCAGCTGAAGAACATATCCACAGGGGAGCAACTGGTCCAGCTCATTTTCATGCTGATATATTTTCTTCTCTGGGAACTGCAGAGCAACAGCATCACTGCTGCAGCACACAGCTTAGAAGCCACTCAAAGGCACTCCTGAAAACAGCATAAAAGGTTTTCTGTCCCCAAATTCTCTACTCTACTCTGCAGTATGGGGGACCCTCTCAGTCTGAGGCAGATTAATTTGCACCTTCCAAGAAGTTGTATTGCTTCTGCTGATTGACTAAGTGCAAATTTTTCTGAAATCCAAATGCCTGTTTTAATCAAAGAAATTTGGAGCTCACATCCAGCTAAATCAACAGCAAAAATTTTCAGGAAAAATGGGATTAGAAAGCAGCACATGCGCTTCCGAAATCGGGGAAGGGAGATACAGCACGACAGCTGCAAGTTTCATACAAGTGTGTGCTCATGGATTCAACTGACATCTTCAAGCTCAGCAGTTATAAACTCATCTCCTGCCCACTGTATTACTTCATAATAACCCACAAATGGTGACAAACCTATTGTCACTGCCTTAGATTACTGAGCAGAGCTCCGCAGTTCCACAGATCTTGTTATAAGGGTCCTCAGACTGCAAAAGGTGGAAAATCATTGTCACTGTGAGAAATGGACTGAAATAAGTAAAAAATGAGTCATTGTTTGTCCAACTGTTTCACATCTCTTTCAGAAGGCAACTTATATTGCAGCTGACAGAAAGTCAGATTCAGTAGATAAGAGCATCAACCAGATCCTTTGTGTTGTGACACAGAAGAAGCTTCCTTCGTGTAGAAGATCTCTAATGGGATGATGATATTTTAAATTTGAAGGGAAATATTGATGACAAGTGTTACTGAAGGCAAGAATAAGAAAGCAAACAAAGCTGTGTTGAAATGAGTGCAGCAAAATAATCAGTTTCAAAATTTAGGATTAAATTAATAAATTAAAGAACTGAAAGATGTTTCTCAAGTTGTTGCAGACATCTAGGAAAAAAAGCAGAGTAAATTTTAAACATACCTATTTAATTTCCTTCCTTCCTTCCGCCTGTCTTTCCATCCCCACAGAAATCCCATCAGCTGCTGTCAGGACAGCTGGGATCACAGCCATTCCTAAATCAGGAGACACCCATAATAGTTGCAGCTCCAGGCACACCCAGCTTTTTTCTCAGCTTGAATTCCAGTTTGCTTTTTGTTTTGCCACAAGAGCACATCCTACAACTCCATAAAGCAAAGACATCTGCAGGTAAAAATCTCAGAATCATTTGCTGTAAAGTAAAGAAATGCTGGAGCAAAGTGTTTTTAGAAAATCAGTTTCTGCTGTATGAAAAAAATGCTGAATTTAACATGGTTTAGGATGACCAATAAAGATAAGAGATATTGCAATAAACCTATTTTTTGAGCTGTTCATCTTTCTTTTTCATGGAAATAGAGAAAATACGAACAACATATTCATGAAATGTGATGCTGGAATGTGACCACTATGATACTAGTAATCATTCTACAAGCTGTATTAAATTCACTTCAGGAACTGAAAATCACTGGAGGAAGGTTCTCTACCACATTCACTCCACTTAATGGTATTGTATGTGATGTAGAGATATCTCAGTGGATTTAGTATTTTTCAATGGAGGATGTGAATTCTATTTCTATGGACAACACCATTCACACAAACAAACAAGACCAAACAAAAAAATCTTCCACCTGACTGGGTTTTTATCACTGTGCTGTACCAGGCATTATTTCAATGAACTCATTAATTTGTGATGGTGAAATTATCTCCGTTTGAAACCATGCACTAGAAAAAGTCAGTTATAGTGGATAAAAGTAAACCATGCCCCTTAATACCAGGGAATTCTAAAGAATTTTCTCTAAGTCCATTCATGTAGTAGGCAGTGGGAATCCAGGTTGTCTGCAGTGGGATCCCAGACACACTTAATGCTCCTTCCCTCAGAAATGACAAGTGAACCAAGGTGCTCCATGGGCTGGATCCTGCTCCCTGCACACCACTGGAGAGGAAAGTGTGATGTTTTAAATATTTCAGAATACAGGATAATTTGAACATGGCTCATTCTTCTATTTTCTTCTATTAATTAATTTATTTATTTATTTATTTCATCTCCCCTCTATTTCCATCTTTTTCTGCATCAGCTTAGGCTCCAGCAGCCCTGGAAAAAACTGGGTCAGATGTCAGTGGCAGAACTTTGCAAAACCTCACCATGGGTGAGGCGGTGACACTGTGAAACCCCAGCTCCTGTCAGGAGACACCATCTGGCTGCTGCCACCTCCCCAATGGGACATGGTTCACTCCTTGGAATCCTCAACTCTTTCAACTCAGGACAGACTGACAGGCAAGAAAATAAGCTATCACAACTTCATCTTTTTCCTGGGGGAAAAGGATGAAGAGTAATGTGGCTCTTTTCACCAGAGTCTGTTCTATTTGCAAACGCTTTTCTCTGCTGTTCCATTTCAATCCCATATAAACAATTATTAGAAATGCAGATTTATTTTTCCAAATGTAATTGTGTTCTGCAAACCACTCGAGTGCTGCTAACCATAACTAATGTTAGCTGGCAAGGCTCACAGGGGCAGCAGCTCTTGGAGGTAGATGTGTTTGTGGCATTTCCCTTGGAAAGGCTGAAATATTATGCATAAAGTATTCCTTACACTCCCAGAAACACTCATTGCCATTGCTGCCTAAAGTAAAAACAAATACACACTGAGGAAAAGCCTCCTGCATAGGACTGCCTTTATAAGAAGGTTATGAGCAGACTATAATTGTAGCAGTGCTGTGCAAGCTTTTTAACCAAGGACTTACAGGTCACTGCCACCCAATAATTACAATAAATTCAGTTTGTCTCTATTTATTTTTTTTTTTACTTTGCAAACTGGTACTGCAGCAGTGAAAAAGCCTGTGTGGCCACAAGACTGCAGCAGATGGATGTGCAAAGCAAGATGAAATTGTAAAAACCAGCAGATTCTTAGAGATATCACAGGCAGAAAAATCAGATAAAATAAGTAAACTGCCTTTTCATCATAACATTCCTCCTTTTGTGGGTGTCTGGGCACAGTCAAACCTCAACTGATTAAATGTAGGCATCTGTATCAGGTAAGCTGGATCACATCTTATATTTCATTGCGTGTTTGACAGAACAAAATATCCAGGAAAATAACTTTTACTATTTGTACTTACCCACAACCTTTCTTTAAAATTAGATATATATTACATTGCAATAGTGTACAAAGATATATGCTGAAATTAGTATTAATTTCAGAACATGCATAAAGTATAATTATCTTTAGATTACTGGACATATGACTACTGTTATTAAAAAAGAATTGTTCCTTTATTTACTATCATACAACAGTTTGCTTGTCATAGAACAACTTTTCAATTTCATAAATACTCTTAACAACTGGAGTTTAGTACATGCTAGAATGAGATCACTGCCAGTGTAAGGACTTGCCTCCAGAACTATCCTCTGGGAAATCACTGTTGTGTGACAAGTTAATTGTTGATCTAAATGCATACAAACCATGAATATGGTGGCATATTTATAGTAGGCAAAGGTCAGTGAAAATTGTGGTTTTTTAGTTCTCAAAACTGTCAAGATTTGCAAAATCTCCATTTTAGAGATAAAGAGGTTGAAAATGCAGCATCTTTTTCAAGGTTCAATGGAAGGTCATTTAAGAACCATTATTAAAAAGCATTTATTCTGTAAAAAGTGTTCCAAAATTACTGGAATTGTTCAAGAATAAATTAATTCTCTAATAATTTTGTCTTTTTTCTTCTGCAGCGTCACTGTTGGTCCTTGTCTCTGTGAAATATTTGGATCTTTCTAGGACTGCACTTTCTTTTTAAATATTTGTACAAGGACTCACACAAGGGAGTGCTGGAAGTTAACAGTGTTCTTTGGACAGGAGGATGATAAATAGCATCAAGAAGAATCCTGATTAGAAATCAGTGTTATTGCATCCCAAACTTGCCAACTCACAAGTTCAGTTGTTGCCCAGAAGTCTTTTAATGACTTAAACAATATGCAAAAGAAAGACAATATTGATGGCCCTAATTGAGGTTGTTAATTACTCCAGATTTCCAACCTTATTTGGGGGACTTACGAAGCACTAAGGTTCCTGTCATCAACCTTGAGTGCAGCAGAGGTTTAGGAGGGAAATGGTCAAATTTCTCCTCAAAACAGACATTGGTAAACTCAGGAAAAAGTATTTTTAAAACTCAAACAAGAAAAAAATATATGATCAGGTAGGAAAACATTGAAAAATGGGCTGCAAAGACAGATAGCTGAGGAGAGGAAATAGGCACAATTCCTGTCTGAGGGGTGGAATGAATTTGTAGGATATGAGATGAGGCAGAACTGTATCCACGCTCACTACAACACATATACAAGTGGGAAGAGATTTAAGGCTCCCTAGACCTCTATTAATTTGTTATTTTCATGCTTGTTAGCACTTCTCTTCTCAAAAAACCCTGTTTATGGGGAGTTTTCTTAAATATCTGCATATAAGAATAATATTTCTGTTTTTTTTACTCTGTAATTTCTTATTTATAGTTGGAAATGGTGCCAGAAACAAGGAAAGTAAAACAATGCTATACAAAGATTTAGCTCAGGCAGCTAATAGAGTTTGGGAAGGTCATAGAATAAAGTATATAATAAAACAAGAAAGAGAATAAAACTTTCCAAACCGTAATTTGAGCATAAAATGTAAAAGAACTTTTAGACATGCAGGTCTCATACTGTAAGCTGATCCCAAGTACAGTTTGATATGAATTTTCCCTTTTTCAGAATTCATGAGATATGAATGTGTGCATCTGTGGAGATCAAACATAATCCTTAAAAATTCACCACTAAAATGCATAAATATTCCTGCTCTTTATATAGATTGCTGGGAATTTTATCATCAGAACTGTGGCACTTACAATTGTACACATCAGAGATCAAGGGAGACATGTAAATGTTTTGAATAGAACATAGTTCATTATGGCTCTTTTAATGCACAGAGTTTTATGAGCTTTGGAAGGGACTCCATATAAAATTAGACCACATTCATCCAAATAAAATGCATTGAAAGAAAATGGGAGAATCTCAGTGAATATTCAGTACTGCAGTGCTTTTCCACAGCTCAAGGATACATGGCTGAAGTCCTTGCTGCTAAATTACACTATAATGATTCTGTCAGCTAAAAGTCTAAAATATAAAAATAACTGTAAATATTTACCTATCATTACAGGGGCAGATATCTATAAAGAACAAGATAACCACTGTGCAATATTTACATATTTATTTTAAATGCAGTAAAGGCTTTCCTCCAAACCTTAAAGAGTGGCAATAATCTTTTATACTCTATGTAAGGAGGAAATTTAGGTGGAGTTTCTATTTGTTGAACCTCCCAAATGATGAATCATTAATAAACTCCCAAGCCTCCCATATTAAGAATGTTTAAATAGAAATAAAATACTCAGATATAACAGAAGGGATTAATTTAATTTCACATGTTTCATATTTTAGATGCCTCTTTTTAAGGTAGTCCCTCCAGCATTTTTATTTGTAAACAGTGGAGAGAAATAGAAACTGGGATTCACCTCATCCTACTGCAGAGGTTGAAAAGAGTCCAAAATATTTTAAAAATATAATATTTCTCATGGATGATAATTCAATTTAAAGTTCAGTGGTCATTGAAGCCACTAAACCTGGAGCCTGTTGGAGTGTGTGGAGCTTCATCCCTTAATGCAAAACCACAGTGAATCACAGCAGAAGGGCTGACTCAGGAATTTCTGAAAGTCAGTGAGGCCAACAAATTTTGAGGTTAGCGTGGCTTGGGAGGAGTGAAGATTTTTATTTACTACAGCAGTTTAGTTTAGTTTACAGCTCTGATCACACCCCACTTAGAGCAGAGAGCACTTTAAGGTTCCACAGCAAACTCCTCCTAACAGATTGGTGGTGTCAGCAAGGTGCCAGCACCAAGGTAACACCAAACAAAGCTGCTCTTACAGCTCCCACAAGGCACTTACAATTAATGTACAGGAGCAGTATTCTCCACAAGAGATCCCATTCAATGCATTAAAGGCAAAATGCATGAACTTCCCCATTTGCTGCCAGATTAAACACTACTTAACTTTGCTGCCCATGATTTGTTCCTGCATAGTCCCTTTTTCTCATGCAGGTTCTTATGTGGGGTTTGCACCATGGAAAGGGTTTGCATATGTCACAACAGCTTCATTGAAAAATAACACTGTTCAAGCATACAGTCTTAATGAAGGACAGAGGACAAAGAAAGTAGGACCAGATTTGTCATTTCACAAGAGCAAACAAAACCAAGCTTCGGCGGAAAGTCAGAAGAGTTTTAGACTCAACTGTCATCCAGTAGTTTCACAATTACATTTCTCACTGTTTCAGTGTTATGATCATGCACTACATTCAAATAGGGTTTTATGATTTGCTCTAAACATAGTTAACTCTGCCTTGGACTCACCATATTCAGGGCAGTATGTGAATATAGGGGCTCATCTGCTTACCCATGAGGCAAGGAGAACCTTGTTCCCTGTGTTTGTGAAGGTTCTCTGAATAATTTTGTTCTAGGATTATCCCCAAAGCCACCAGGACTCAATCCTCTTGCCTATGCATAATATGTGAGGGTTTTTTTAAATTTTTTTTGCAGATGTGGTATGTCCCAAAGGAATAAGTTCTAAATCAGACATTTACAAGTGTGTGCGTTTCCCTTCAGTACTTGGACACTTGGTGCACAGAGTCTGACTCCAACACATGGAGGATAAATAATGATGCACCTGCTTTCAGTGGTTAACACAGGGCACTGTAATCATGTGCAACCCCAGATATCCTCATGGATCCTGAAGATCCTAAGATCCATACCCAAACATTCTGTTTTGAGTGTTTTCTGAGTCACATCAAATATTTCAAAACACTCTTTAAGAAAGAATTCCAGAAACATCAAAAATGCCCCTTTGTCCTCCAGTTCACAGCAGTTGCTTAAAACAAAAAACAAAACCAAAACAAAACAAAATAAAAAGCAAATAAACAAACAAAACAAACAGAACCCCAACCAAACAAACAGAACCCAAAAATCAGTATACCCTCAAAGTAGTAGCAGCTGTTCGTTTCTATGAGAGGTTACTTTAGCTCTTTCATTTTTCATAAACTGTTTAATTCCTCTTATGGATGAAATTGGTGTTTGTACTTGTAGGATGACACAGAAGGACAAAATTGTCCACTGCTCTAAGTGTACAACCACAGGCAACCAACAAAGCTTCTTTGATTTTCTGTCATCAAGCTTCAGAACTTGTTTTAATCTCTGCTACTTTCCCCAGTGCATCCAAATATTTATGCCTTTGTTTCCCTTCCTGATACACTTTTCTTGTTTTCTGGCTGAACTTCTGCTCTGGGAACCTTTGTGCCCTGATCAGCACAGCTCTCTGAAGAAGCTTCATCTGCTTCTGCAGTGTGAGCTCCAGGGCTGTTGCAGAGCGGGTCTCGGCTCTAATTATGGCACCAGCTCTAACGATATAATTAAGTGTAGGCAATAAGAAGCAAGTAATACTTTCAGTTTATTTGTTTTGTGAAGAATCACACTCATCTGGGTCAAAATGACCTGACAGATACTTCTGCATGCCATCTGTTTCTGAAAAACACACACACTGCTTCTCAGCGCAATATTTCGCAGAGGCCAAACCCTGTAAAAGCCTTGACACTAGGAAGGAAAAATTTTACTGACTCAGGGGAGAGAACCACTCAGTACATTCTGATCACTGACATCATTAGTAAGACTGCCAGGATTTGGAGTTTGTCAAGTCGGAGGGGACCCAAGAATCATCAAGTCCAAATCCCTGCTCCATGCAGGACTACCCAAAACTAAACCATGTGGCTAAAAACACTGTCTGGACACTCCTTGAACTCTGGCATCATTAGCATCCTCACATTTCAACAGAATCTTGAGCATTCATCCTGTTTCATGAAGAAAAACACTATCAAAATGTGTTCAAAACTGGTAACTCCTTATTTACTCATCCACCTTGCTGCAGCCCCTTCTCAAGGCGCTGTCCCTTATACTGCTGCCTTCATTTTCTTGGTAATCCAC